ATTTTCGGGGGTTCTTACCGTTCTGGGTGCTCCGTGTCCAAGTCCACTTAGAGTACTTCCAGTTTCTTCCAATTGCCGTATCCAAAATTTAATAGTGTTAGCAGAAGGAATAGATTCGGTACGTGGAATGCCGAAGTGTATACGAAAAGCCCTCTGTGTAGCGATCACAGAATGATTATTTTCGTAATACGCACGCACGACGAAACCACGATGTACACCTGTCCAGACCATGATTACGACTAAAAATGGCATTATCGTACAATTCAAAATATACCACTAATTAAGGCCTGCTCTTATCTTATCTCCGGTTAATGAGCTCCTTAAACTCGTCAGTCGGCTCTGCCGCACCCTGTATGTAGTAGCAGAGCTTATGGCTAAAACAATGAAACCACATACAATAGGCGAACAGTTAATTTTACCCGCTTGCCGTGAAATTGTAAAAATATTTTTTGGAATAGAAGCTGAACAAGAAATATTGAAAATTCCTTTATCTGATAATACAGTTAGTAGGCGCATAAACGACATGTCCGAAGATATTGAGCAGCAAGTATTAAATACGTTACGCAATTCTATTATGTTTGAGCTGCAAGTTGACGAATCTATAGATATAAGTGGAAAAGCACAGCTTTTAGTTTTTGTACGCATGGTAGTTGATGACGATATTATTGAAAACTTTTTTTGTTGTAAAACATTGCCTGAAACAACGAGAGATGAAGATGTTTTTAAAGTTTTGGACGATCATTTATCATCAGTAATTTTATATATAATTATGTTCTTTTATTTTTTTTATATATAACACAGTTTTGTCATTTTTAAGAGATGCTTGGATTAGAAATAAGGTAGAAGAGGGATGTAAGTATAAAAATAAAAAATTGAAGGTTTAAATGATTTATTGAATTGGATATAATTAGAAATAATACTGTAGCATATTTTTATAAAAATTTGGGGGGAGCCCTGGGCCCACAAGCACTGTTTTTTTAAGTGTATATTCTAAGGAATAACAAGTATTTAAAACCAATATATTTAATTGTTAATAATATTAAAAATATTACCAATGATTTTTCTGTAGCTTTGCCTGTTTGATTTTTAGTCACAGTAAATGCTAAACTTAGTCGCGATAAGTCAACCGTCGAATAAGGTCGTTAATTTACTTGTCGCTCCGTTATCTTAGTTCTGCTTTCGTATATTCTTAAACTTTATGTCGGCGTCGTCTTCGGGCGGCGGTGGCAACCCGTCGCATGGCCAAAACCAGTCAACAGGAAAAACCAATAAACTCAATGCCAGACTAGGGGAGACCGGGTACAACTGTAACATTTTCCATACTATTATTTATTTATGAGAAAATTTAAACTTTTTAGCATTGATCTTTCACTCGACTGATTCAGTAACTTGTAATCTTAAGAAACATGTATAAATTGATCATTAACTTTCATAGGTGAATCTGTAAATCTGATCTGAAAAAAAAAAAGATATGTTACAATTGTACCCGGTTCTGGGTCAATTGTAACAGTACAAGGGGACAAATGTAACATATACATAATATATTAATCAAAATAAGATTTTTAATAGTTTAAGCCTTTATTACTAAAAATTAAAATTAAAAAACAGTGGTAGAACATACTTAATATAATAATAAAGAACAAGTTACAATATTTTTATAGTTTGAGCCTTTATAACTAAATATAAATATTAAAAAAACAGTGGTAAAACATACCTAATATAATAATAAATAACAAATTATAATAATTTTATAGTTTAAGCCTTTATAACTAAATATAAAAATCAAAAAACAATGGTAGAACATACCTTATAATAATTTTATAGTTTAAACCTTTATAATTAAATATAAAAATAAAAAAAAAAGTGGTAGAACATACCTAATATAATAATAAAGAACAAATTATAATCTTTTTATAGTTTAAGCCTTTATAA